TGTTCTTGGATGTTAAATAGGAAAATATGTTTACCCTGAAGCAAAGCCCATGATGAACAGGCGGCACGTCATGGTGAAAACGAGGATTCATATGTGGTTTCACGTCCCACAAGGTGAAACATCATCCCTCTTTAAAACCTGCGACTCATTCCTGCTTTTTCCATACTACCATTTTTGCAGTCGCTCAAAACAAAATCGACAACTATCTGCTATTGCTTTTATATTACAGATGACCTATAATATCATAAAATCTCAGTTCCATCTTATGTCCATGGAGGTAAACAGATGGCGAGCTGGTATCTAACTTTGCTGCGTCATACTTTCACAAGGAGTAATTACTTCCAAACAGTAGTTACCTTACTAAAGAAATAATAATAAATGAAACAAATAATAATAAATGAAACAAATAATAAATAACACTGCCTTTGTCGTTGCTGCCGTTTAGCCTGTGTTTTTTTTGCTAACAAACTTCCAAACCAATACAAACTCCGGGTCATACTGATAAAATACATTTTCGTAATGTGTCATCGCCATTCTATAGTAATAATATATCCTCCTGAGACTCCACCCATTCATTTATGTCTATTGTAGTGGACATTTTGTTTTTGCATCTATCTTTTCACTGATGTAAGGAAACGTATTTATTCCTGTTGTACACTAAAGAGGACATGCTGTGAAATTAAAAATAAAAATAAATTTGAAAAAAATCTAAATTGTAAGATGTCTTATTTCCACCAAAGACAAATAACCTAAAATTGAAGGACACTTTTTTCCTTGGGTCTCAGGAGGCTATAGAAAGATATACAGATAGACTTTATTGACCCCAAGAGGAAATTCAGTCTATCTGCCTTACAACTGCATATATATTAGACACATCCCTGCGATCTACAGCTCCACCTGTTTCACATGAATAGTACAATAGCCACGAGTGCGTTTCAGTGTGGTTTTATCATGGCTCCAGTTATCACCGAGCAGCTGAATGGCCCCATCGCTCCTCATCCATCAGCCCCGCAGCCCCGCATCCCCGCGTTGCTACATGCGGGCTCCTGCGGTTCCTCTCAACGCAGACATCTCGAGTGGATGGGAAACATTCAGCGACGTTCATACTTTTAAAGTATCTGGTCTTCTGATAAATGCGCCACCGCCTCTCGCAGAAACACACCTGTATTGCTACAGATCAGCTTGCTTTAACCGCTGATAGTTTGGTCTCCATTTGCTAAAGGAGCCGATCGACAAACAATAGATTTGCTTTCCACGCGAGCAGCCGTTTACGTAAATATTAACCATATAATTCCAAAATTCGATTCCATAATTATGTTGGCATTATGGGCCATATAAGATTATACATGTTGCAACACAACATTTACCCAAAGAGAAAACATGAAATAACCGAATGAGCTATATAAAACTACGTTATATAGGCCTAGCAGTTCAGAAATTAAAGACTAATTAAGGTCCAGTGGTAATATCACACGTGATATGACGTCATTCGGAAAAAGATAGCTCACCAAAAATGAATTTCGTATATAAAGTACTGTATATAAAATCTTTAATACGACCTATAAGATCTGAACGTATCTTCCCAACAACAAAAACTAAATAAATAAATATTGGTTTACTGTCCCTCCTTGTGGCCAGTGCATACTACATGTTACGTCAGAAGGCCTTAGGATTATGAGTCACAATATTAGGTACCACCTGTTTGCAGATTTGTTTTGCCAAATAATTTAATATCTGCATTACATTTAGCAGTTACAAAAAGTTATCAGGGTATTGTCATGTCAGTATGGTTGTACTGGGTTGTACTTATAGTATTTTCTATTTTGTGCATGGTACATTTATGGTAGGCTATATGTTCTTTGTATTTGAAGAGATTTTTTAAATTTTATACTATGGTGCTTTGTTCTGTACCATAGTATTCTGTTATGTCCCACGGTATTTAGTTCTCATAGTGTTGCCAAGAAGCACATATAATTTAGTTCCCTTACAAAATAGTGATTGCATTATAAAAATGGGACTGTGATCATTTTAGTTGTACTGGATTTGGTGAATCTGAGAATTTCGGCCAAGCTACTCACAGAACTCTGTAATTATGATATTGCATTTTATTTTAATCATTTCAACTAAAGACTATTTGAAATGTGAACAGATTATTTCTGTTTTTTAAACATGTTTTGATAAAAAAAAGTTTCCTTTTTGAAACATATTGTTAAGTGGTTAATTTGTACAATGTGTGTGACAATTAAACTGTTAAAGCGCTTTTCTCACTAAGCCAAAACAGATACAATTCATGCATGGTATATTTAATATAGCTGTGATATCTAATTTCAATGCTGTATCATTACAATACTATGGTAAAGATTACTTAATATTCTATTGAAAAGAAGCATATATTACTATAGTATAGCATATTTAAAAACATGTTACTACCATGCTTCAACACAAAAACTTTAATGGATTATCATTGCATTTTAACCGAAGATACACTGTAATATTATGTAGTAGATCATGGTATACAGGTGGCCAAATTACAACTGTTTTACCATAATGGTACTACCATGCTGTTACTTTGGTGATAATACTATAGTGTTTTTTTCTAAGGGAGGTTTACATCACGAAAGGTCATTACGTGCAGCATTTGTCTTTCCATCATGACATAGATTCATTACTGACAAAGACTGAAATACAAAAGTAAAAATTGAATTTGAAAAGATATATATACTGTTGAAGTAATATTACACAGTGGGTTTTTTTTTTAGCAATGAGTGTATTCATTATAACATTATGGCTCTTATTTCCTCATATTTCTCTTAATTAAACATTTCTGATATACAATATATTCTACACTCATTTCTTTTAGCATCTGATCACTTTAATAAATCCACCAGAAGAAATGGTCTTTGAAGGTATTGCTCATTCTTTTTGAATAAATAAATGTTTTGTGTGCAAAAGATTTTGTATTTTGAATGGCATATTATACTTCTTTGAACCAATTAGTTATAAACGTCACAAATGTTGGAAACACTCAATAACATATTTTCCATCATTATTTTGCTCTCTCTCTCTCGCTCACACACACACACACACACACACACATATTTCTGTTGACAGATAAAACAGAGTTCTTGAGTGCAACTGATGCAGTGCTTTCCCAACTGGCCCTACTAACATATGACATAGAACCCAGTCAAACCAGGATTAAACTCAAGAGTCTGTTGATGTTTAGCCTGGCTGACATACATATGGAAGCTGACCACCTAAGTGCCGAGTTCTGGTTAAATATTGGCCAAAAGTTTGCCCACTGCCGTCTGTTGTTTTTACACTAAAGGCCCCGCAATTGTTGGAGGCATTATTGACTTTGTAATTAAACTATTCTAACGTCAGGATTTTGTAATCATTACATTTCAAGCCATCTGTTCCAGTCTAAGCACGAGTGTGATCTGCCCTTGACTGCAGATAAAGGATAGCGCCTATACACAGACAATTTTATCATTTGTGGCATAATATTATATATGATAAGTTTGTACGCGAATGTTGAAAAACTAATTTCATTTGCACCGGTTCCATGCACCCTCTTTAATTAAAAATAGACATACTTCTCATTTCACAATTATAATTTCTGTAAATGCGTGTCTTGGTGGTCTCACTGTTACTGATTATGGTTTTATTAGCTTCCGGGTCTAACAAAGCTCAATTTAGTAAATAGAAGATAGAATAAAACATTCAAGGTTTTTTTTTTAAATGTTCTTCAGCCAAGGCTGCATTGAGAAAACACACAAACACACAGCTTGCCACGGGTGTTGGGTTAAACATTTTTATCAATGCAGAGCTTGGTCAACACCTTTATCTGGCTGTATCTCCCGCCTATTGTGCAATAGAGAAATCAAATCATTCATCTCCTCAAAGATAAAAACCCAGCTCTGATTCACGTCTCCTTCAATTGTGTTTCCGGACTGCAGTCTTCTGTTTGTGAGAAGTAGCTCCAGTTCACCAATTAAGGCCTTTGTATTCCACAACTTGTGTGGCTTTGAAGTTTGAGATAAGGGTGTCGTTTTGTGTATGTTGACTACTTGTTGATTCGCTCACATAAAACACCTCAAGCTGTGCAAGGGGCTGATTCTACACCCATTTCTCCAATTTCCCTGCAACAAATAGCACCGCAACAACATTTCTGCCATGGTTTTCATACCCCAGGACCACATCTCAAGCATCAAGCCATCCACCCATTTTCCACACCCTCTTGTCTTATGTAGGGTTGTGGCGATCCGGAACCTTTCCCAGAAGCTATGGGCGCAAGGCAGGGAATAACCCAAGCTGCCAACCTATCGTAGGGCACAGACACCATTAAGATACACAGGAACACCTAGCTAGGGACAATTTGGCAACTCCAATCCAACATGGCACGTTTTTTGGACCGTACAGTACCCACCCTGCATAAATTCATATTGCAGATTTTGAGGCAGGAGTGAATTACATAAGCTGACAGCTTTCATTTAATTGGCTTGTCGGTGTATCATGTCTTTCTATTTGTCAATACACCAAAGTTCCTCCCAATCCCCAATCGAAATCCTTCCAATACCTTGTCCACACACATTCCAAAGAATTTTAAATGGCCAGAATAGGTCGTGCTTAAACACATGGGACATCAATATCGCATGTGCCACATGTTATTGTATTTCCAAACCCAAGAAAGAGTTCTGTGAGAATAGTACCCCTAAACTGGATATATAACGTCTTATACCAATAAAACGTGTTTTCAAGTGATTTTTTTGTATAGGTTAAACCTATACTTTTTTTGTAAAAATACACAACAGTCTCCATAACACTTTAAAATCTACCAAGAGGTATTGTGTATTTTTGTAATATTTGAAAAAGCTTAAAATGCCTACATTTGGTGTATTTTTATTTGAAATGTGTGGTTGCCTGAGACATGACATTTAGTAAATTAACGCAGCATATCATATATTAGTTAACTGACAAAACGTGTTTAGCACTGATATTTTATTTGTGCTTACTTAATATTAAACAGTTTGCATCATACAGTCATATATTACAAAGATTATAGTCAAAAAATTAAATTAACACTTGAAGAATATATATTTACTCTATTGCAACCCTTAAGAAAATAACTTTAACCTTCCTGCTGCTTCTCATTTTAGGTCTAATACTCTAGAAACACTTCAAAAAATATCTGAAGGATGTTTTATTACCTGAATAATACAAGTTATAAAACAGGTATTTAAGAGCTGTTTTAGGGAGATGCTTGCCCTGATTTACTTCAGCCTGACATGTGATATAAGGTAAAACTCTCTGATATTTCTCTGTGACATCACTGGGATGACAGTATAGCTCACTGTTGGGAATAAGGCATTTTATGTCAGTGATGAGGTGTTATGAAAAGTCCTTTTTAGAGTACAGGCAATAAAACCTCATTCGTTATTGGGTTCTCATGCTGAATTGACCTATTACACCCAGCCAGCTGAGGCAGTCAGGGGCCACTTCCTGTGGATCCCATGAACACAGTGTTTATGGGGGGCAGAGACGACACTACGTCCCGTACGTCAGCGGTGGCTCGGGGAGGGAACAATGCATCCTGGGAATGGAACTGAGGATTGGCTCCATACATACATGGGGTGGATACAGAAGATGTGATGGGTGAGGCTGCGGAGAAAAACAACACAAAACAGTCTGAAGACACACACACACACACACACACACACACACACATATATATATATATAGCTGGTGCTCCCTAAAGCACTGTTTCTCAACCTGCTTCTTGGGGGCCGCCAGACGGTCCCCATTTTTGCTCCCCCCCCCCAACTCCCAGCACAGGTGTACCAGGTATTTGGAGCCCTTGATTGGCTGGGAGCCAGGAGGGAGCAGAAACGTGGACCATCTGGCGGCCCCCAAGGAGCGGGTTGAGAAACGCTGACCTAGAGGATACAATTTTCCTTTGGTCCTTAAAAGAGTTAAGATGTAACCGGTTATGAAAATATATACATTACTGTGCAAAAGTCTTAGGCAGTCAAAGAAAATGTTTAAGGCTATTTATCTTGGTAGTAATTGTATATTTTCCTCTGAAAAAGAACAATATAACATTATAACATATGCAATCTAGCAGTAACGCAATAAAAAATAAACAAGGATTTCATGTTTTCCAAAAAGTTACTGATATCTTGTTGGACGGCTAGATGAACACGTTTCAGTTCCCAAACCTCTGCTCAGGGGCTCCTCAGCCATTCCATGGATTTGTTTTAATCTCACCAACCGGCTCTCTTACCTAATTAGCTTAATTAGTTGAATAACTCAGTGAGTTACTGATTAACCGAGCAAGGTGGGGTAGTGGTCGAGTCAAAATATACATACGTGTATTGGACAGCTGCTGCAGATACAGAGGTGATCTTAGGAAAGGTTTCTGACATAGTATCATAGGTTTACATCAACATGAAGAACATTTATACATCATTTTCTGTGACTGCCTAAGATTCTTGCACGATACTGTATGTTAAGTCAGATGAACCTTGACAATATACTACAGCAGTGTTTCCCCATTCAGTCCTCAGCGACCCCCAGACCCCAGATGGTCCACAGTTCTGCTCCCTACAAACCCCTGCCCAGGAGCCGAGGGGGAGAAGAACGTGGGCCGTCTGCGAGTCCCCGAAGGACCGGGCTGGGAAACGCTGTTCTAGAGCTTATTTATACATGTACATAAAAACTTCTGATTTTGAATTCCAGAAGAGCACTGACTCACCACCGGGAGTCCGGGACACAAGGACTGGAGAGTCACTGTAGTAAGAGCCGACGGGCTTCCTGCCACTGTCATCCAGGATGTTGAGGGGGTCGTGCACGTCGCTATAGGAGTGCATGGAGCGTAACGAGCTCACGCTGCTGATCACCGACACGTGCTGGTCGATCACGGAGCCCAGCCTCTGAGGGTCCGGGTAGCCACCGGTGCCATAGTAACCTGCAGCTAGTTTCGAGTGCAAATGTTAATTATCATAATTACTGTTACTGTTATTTATGCGACTGGAGCCTTTTCTCAGAGTCAAATGCTTAATTTCAGCAGCTGTGAAAAGGTTGTGTGTGTGTGTTCAGAGGGATGTAGGAAAACTTCGAGACAGTCAGCAAAATATGAAAAGTATAGAAGCCACCTAATAATACAACATACTAGGAAAAAAGAGGCACAAAAGAGGATATCACTTTATATACATCCATCCATTTTCTAACCACTTATTCTGGTCAGGATCTCAAAGGAGCCAGAGAATATACCATATATACCATATATTATACCATAACTGGAAAGATGAAGTGTTATATGTACCACAGGCCAATAAAACAAACCGTAAAGAGCAAAGGGCCAACCCTGCATTCTAGGTCTCCTTTAGCACTGAAGTCCAAGCCTTAGTGTTAGAATATAAGGAGCTTGTGAGGCTGCATTCCATCCTGCAGTACTAGCTTATGAGCGTGAAGGAAACTGACAGAATATGACTGTCAGCCAATATCTGTGACAAACAAGAGAGACGGACAGTCCCAGGTGGACGGACGCCGGGAGAGCATGTGATTCTCTGGACGGCTCCCAACCCATACAGACGGGCTGTTACTCACCGCTGGTGGGGTAAGCTGTCCCCTGGCAGGCGCCACTTCCACCGAGGAAGCCGTACCCTCCGGGGTCCAGGAGCTGCAAGGCCTGGGCCTCCATCACGGGCTCCGACGCGCTGCCAAAGTTCGCCGGGGGCCGGGAGATGTAGGAGGTCTCGGCACAGCTGGGGGTGAAGTAGTCCTTCGGCAGCTGTTGTGGCTGCTGTTCGCAGAAGGAGGGGTACCGCCCCCTGTCTGGGCGCGACGGATAGGAGGCGGCGTGTGTCTGAGGCCTGAACAGGGCCTGGTAGTTGGGAGCACTGGAGAAGAAGCTGGGATTGGCGGGGGGAACGTTCTGGTAGGCGACATCGGAGAAGGCCTGGCAGGGGATGTGTGACTGGAGCGGGGTGCAGCTTCCTTGGGGACGGCCAGCCATGGGGCCCTGGTTGATCACACTGTCTCGGTTCACCATCGCCGGGGAGATGGGGGGCGTCATGAGCGGAACACTGTTCTGAGGGAAGTCCACCGGGGCTGAGGAATTTTGGACAAATATGCTTTAAGCCAGTGTTTCCCAATCCGGTCCAAGGGGGCCCACAGGCGGTCCATGTCTTTGCCCCTTCCCAGCTCCCGGTAGGGAGCAAAAATGACAACGGTCTGACAGGGAACTGGGAGGGAGCAAAAACATGGACTGTCGGTAGGTCCCCGAGGACTGGATTGAGAAACACTGCTTTAAAGGTTACTGTCAGTCCTGAGGCGATTTGCTGTGTAGATATAGGTACTTTCATCCAAAGTAACAAGTGGAGAAAGTTTGGACATCAGCCAGCCTCCCTACAGCAGTATTTACTATGCAATGTTTAAACTTATTTCACATATTTAATTCTCCACCCAATTCTTATTTATTAAAGAATGTTTTCTTTAAGCCATTAATGCTAATGAACAGCAAGCCAAAAGAACCAAGTTTTTTTTTTTTTTTTCTTTTCATGTTTTTAATAATCCAGTTACGGTCATGGGAACCTAGAGCCAATACCAGAAAGCTGAAAACAAAATCAACCAATCACAGATCACACACTCATAGAGTAAGACCAATACCTGAGAGAGACAGGTCTTCTGACTCCACCTCCTGGTAGGTGACCATGTTTGGGCCCAGCCCATGCTGCCCGCCTGTGAGAGACAGGTAGGCCTGTTCAGAGAGCAGCTCGTTCTTCACAGACGCATCGCCGGACACGGCAGGGACTTTGCTGCGGTTGGCAAGGAAGCAGGAACTAGGAGAAGCGGTGAAGGCCGCCTTGCTAGCATCTGAAACAAGGCAAAAACATTACATTTCATCGATTAATTAAGACCAGTATTCTCTTTGCGTAGACTGCTGTTACTAACTTACATCAAAATAAAAACTATCTAGTCCTAATCACCAGAAATCATGACACAAATGATTTTCATACCTGCATTTCTCATATATTTATCTAAGAGATTCTGAAGGTCTTGTTCTTTGTCATTATTGAACTGTGTTTCGATAGCTAGTAGAATATACTCATCCAGAAGCATTCGAATCAGATGGAAAGAACCTGTAAAAAATAAAACTATTAGTCCTTTGCATGGAGACAATACATTTTACCACGTGACAAACCCCTAGACTGCCATAAAGGTGATAGTGAGCTTAGACTGACTTATCAGTCACACCATCCACAAAGATCCTGGATCACCTGTTTCATCTGTGGCCGTAGGTTGACCTAGAAAGTTTGCCCCTCTGACAGTGTGGCAACGGTCCCATCAGAGACACAGACAGATGAATGCGATAGTCAATTTTCTCTCCAATCAGGACAGACAGAAGCAGCTGATAAGGGGTGGCTTACCAGGACACGGTCATTACATTTTACTGCTCATTGTGGCTTCATGATCAGGCAGAGACAAAGACCTCTGTTTGTGTTTGTGTTGGAAAGGCCTCAGGCACAGAGTGCAGCAGGATTCTTCACTAGGGGAATCCAAGTCCAATCATAAATTCAAGGCATAAAATTTGTTCACGTGTAAAAAAAAATGTTCCATAAAAGAATTTATGGAACGGTAAATGAACCAAATTAGGTAATGACCCCAAAATAATGGAAGAGATTATGTTTGTTTAATAAGGTTCATTTTTACTTATACTACATATCCTGATGGATTTCCTCAAACATATATATGTAAGATATTTTCATACCGACAGTCAGGAGCACCCATTCCTTACCAAAGCTCGTGGCATTGTTCAGGGTGAGGTTGTGCATGACCCGTGCTCCAAAAAAACTCCACTTGAGAAGAAAATCCTGCGCTCTCTTCTTTAAAGAACGACCGTTCTGCTTACTCGGCTGGGGGGGAGAGAGAGAGAGAGAGAATAATGAAAGCGGAGATTGACCTCTGGACAAACCGATCAGGGAGGAGTGTTCCATGAGATGTCATACCTTGATGACCTTCTGCTCCACCACGCTGTCCAACCATTCTATAAAAGACTCTACAGTTGCATTTTTCTTAAGGAGGTCTTTCAGCTCTTGGAACACTGTGATAGAGTCATCTATGAAGTATGAAAACACAAGGCATCTATGTTTTGAGTCACATCATGCGTAAGCAATCTCTATTTCTTTTATTACACGCTTATGCAAGCTATTTATTACAGCCATCAGGTGACCAATTAAAAGAATATTAATAACATCTTCTGACAGCGTTTCAGAGAGAAAATATCCTCACATTCGGAGTACAGGTCTGAGTCGTGGTCTCCACTGCTGGATATAGTGAGCAAGGCCTGAGATCCAATGCTACTGAGGTCCACCTTGTCAATGTCACTCACCATGGAGTTCACCACATTTTGGTCAAAGAGAGCAGGTCTGGCGATCTAAGAACAACAGACATTCATCAAATATTTCCAAAAGGATGTCATACGCCACACCCAAACATCCTCTCAAGAAGGTTTGCTCAGTCTGTGCTGGAAAATATCTACACTTTTCATTTTCATTTGTTAAATTACCTGGGCAAGGTGTAAAAAAGAGGTTTGTCGCTTTAAGGTGGACACAAATCGGCGTGCGATTGGTAGCTTTTTTTCAGAGAGGGTTTCTGGAAGATTCTCTAAGGAGGACACCATCCAGTGCTCCCAGTGCTTGGCGAAGTTCCGAATATCTGCCAAGAGACTGGAAACCATTCTCTCTTTATATTCAACCCATTTGTTAGAGAGGGACTAACTGTGCCACTTCTGTTTTCATTTGTGTTATTAATTATATGTCAATTGTATTCTTAAATATTCTACAAAATCGATTAAAACAACAGCTAAACTATTTCTCAGCTTTCCTGTCAGTAGGAAAAACATATGGCAAGAAGAACTCACTACAAAGTTTATGTCCTATATAAACAAATATATAAATCAAATGTGTCACATACATATATAAAAAAATTACCTTTCAGGCATTTCTTGCATTGTAGCAGGAATTAAAACATCAGTCAGAACCTGGAAAAAAAGACCTCAGGTGATTTATTTAACTTGGAGAAATGCTGAATGTCAGCTTGGTTGAAGGAGGACTGGAGCTCACACCTTGTACAGTATGGAATCACACACGCAGAAGATGTCCACAGTGATGGGATTCTCCAGCAGGGGCAGAAGGTGCCCGGGCATCCCCTGCCAGAAGTGCAGCAGGAAATTCTGGATCTGGAAGGCAAAAGGCCGGACGTGGTCACAGAGAGCAGGTCAGCACAGCCAGTGAGCAGGAAAACATCTCATTCACTATTTTTTGATACCTCTTCAAAGTTGCTGTTGATGGCATTGTCTAAAATGCACTGACAGTGCGTTTTGTACATCATAATTAAGGTGTCCACCTGCTTGGGCATAAAAGAACATTTTTTGTTGTTATTTTTTTTTATATATATTTTGCAGCAAAATGTTAAAGTTTGTTAAAGACAAGGAGTGCAGAAAAACTTCATTGTTCGTACCTTTTCTATGGAAATGCAGCTTTGAAGTACGAGATGTTGGGCACTTGGAAAGTCGGGCAACAATGTTCCCGTTTTGGAGCTGAGTGAATACTTCCGAGTAAAGCCACCCTGCGGGACTCAATGCAGATCTCATTTCATTAAAATGAAGGTGATTATTTAAAATAGTACTATTAACTTTCACAGAGAACAAATTAAACAAACGTAATTGAAGCTCTTTTCAAGATTTTTCACATTGCCATTGATGACATCTCTTTCTGTGAGGAAGTGTTAAATACATCAACAATTCTCAATCAGGAGCTTTTAAACAATTTTATAGCTGAATTCACAGCTCTGCTAAGGGCACGTCTAATGTGTGACACGTCACTCAAACTCTTACCACAGAAGATGTCTTTGACATAGAAATGTAACAAAACTGCCAATATATTCTGCAGTGCCTTTATATACATCAATTAAACTGTTAAACCTCGACTGAACAAAATTTTTACCTCATTTTTGAGCTTGCTACCGGAAAACCTAAGGTGAAACACACACGGCAACAAAATTAATGAAGTGGAAGTAGATAAACAATTATGACGTTCGTCAAAATCAGCAATGGTGCACATGTGTGTTTTATTACCCACACGATGGCACGTGTGACTAATGACGTATGACGAGAAACATGATTTGTTTGCAAGAAAACATATAGCTTAGTAGTCTCAAACACATCATGCCTCACGGTTAACAAAATCCTGAATCAGCGCACGGTTGGCCAAATGGACCCGTGCAAATTTAATTTACAGCTCTGAGACCATTTGCTATTTGCGTGGTTCTTGTGGCATTCCCAGTTTCCTCCCAAGGGCAAACAGAATGCCTGCTATCGGCCGGTTAACTAATAAAGGTGGACACTGATAGTGGGAGTCATAAAATGGGGAACATAAAGGTCAGCGGGGTTACCTGGTCAGCCCCTTCCCAGAGTACACAGAGTGGTAATATGCACTGCTTTCTTTGATGCCGATGCCATAGTAATGATACCTGTGGACAATGTTTAAGAAAAACAACAATCTTCCACATGAAGCGCAAAAGGCCTGAGATTGCAAAATGCCCCAAAAAACTGAGAAAATAAGCATTACAAATACATTATAAGCGAGATTAAATGATTGCGTTTTTCCAGATCAAGACAAAACTTCATCGGATTGGCTGGCTGAAATGTAACATCGTACTATTCTTTCAAAAATAAAAAAAGTTTTTAACGGTTGTGAAGAAGCTACAGCATGAAAGGTGCCATCGATAAATAAACTGAATTGAATTATCGTGTTTTTATGCTGATTTCTCCTCTTACTTTGAATGGCCTCTGGTACCGAGTCTCCTGGTTGTTAAGAGAGGAAATTTCTGCCGTATTGTCTGTGAACAAACAAAAATAGAGAAACATTTTTGTGCCATTAAAATACAACTTCGAGGTACTCGTGCTTAGCAAATAAGAATAATGAGAATATTTTCTGTTAAATCTCCTACCACAGCATAACTCTGGAAATTAAAGATGCAACAATGTCTCATTCATGTTACCGAGATGGCAACTTTTCGTATTCATTTTTATTACAAACTTATTACAAACTCAGCTGCACTGAGAATGCATAACGTGTTTTTACCTTGCCAAATGTTGCAGCGCAGGCAGGATCCAATTTTTCTTTCCTGCAGAAATCTAAATAGTGCGCATACAGGATGCATCGTGGCAGACACACGCCATCACAAACAATGTAGTTCTCTTCAAGCCTGGGGAGAACAGAATCGATTAAAACAATAGCTAAACTATTTCTCGGTTATCCTGTCAGTAGGAAAAACATATGGCAAGAAGAACTCAATTATATACTTCAGTATATATTACATTAAATAAAAGCTGAATATTTTGCTGCCGGGCTCCCTGGTGCAGCTCCCAAATAACTGCGCTATCACCCCCAAAAAAGTTCGTAAACCCCATGATTCGAGACGACATCTGTCACATAGCTACCACTGCAGAGTTAAGTGCGTCTGCTTCTTCTTGTCCTTGATTATCTGAGTGATACTTTTCTTTGGAATGGACTGCTTTAAAGCCAGATCCTTTGTGTATTCAGATGGATCCACATCCTCTTCAGTAGATGGAGCATCATTGCAATCCTCAGTTTCTGTTAGAGAAGCAAGATACAAGATTTAAGTGATTTAACACCAACCTGTCTTGCTTATATTTTAGAGGGTGTGGGACAAGGTGCAGATTATATAGCGATAGTTGTCCCGTTGCTGAAACAGGCAATTACTTTCTCACCAACTTAATCAACACATAAATTAACAACTTACCTGATGAAGGTGAAATACTACTCCAAACACACACACACACACACACACACACACACACACACTAATTCATATCTTTCTGGGGACTCTCCATTTCTATGGGGAAAAACCCTAATCCCTACCCAGCCCTAACCCTAACCATAAGCAACTGAACAAAATACAAGATTTTAGGCATTTTTAGTTTTTTGATTGCATTCACAGATTTTTGTGGGGACCTGAAAAATGTCCCCACAAGCTAAAAAGTATCAGGTTTCGCCACATTGTGGGGATATTTGGCCACACACAGAGACACGCACAGACAGAAGCAAACATATCCCATCACTTCTATTACATAACATTTTAATGATGCTGCCTTGGGCAATGGAATTCTAGGTATCAAAGCTTGCATTTTTATCCATTATTATAACTGAAGGTTTCTCCTGAAACTGTAGTAATCCCATAAAATCACTGTGCTCCATAAAAATAAACCCTGCATTTTTAAAAGCACTTAAAACAGTTAAAGTGAAATGATTTAAAGTAATTTAATAACACAAAAATGAAAAATGGTTCTTGATGCAGAGGGTAGTCTGACAATGGTATGTCAATTAAACAGGTCAGAGAGAAAAATTATATTTAACAATGGCAAGGCAAACCTCCATCCACCCGATCTACTTACATCAGATTATGCTGTCAGCGCCGGGAAGCGGCCTACAGGCAGCATATACGGCGCAAGGCTGCGGCGCATCCTATGCGGGATGGCAGCGCATTGCGGGGCACATACACACGCGCACTCCCGCACACTGTAACGCACATACGTCATTGGTCTGCGGGAGGACATCGGAGTATGCGGAGGAAACCCACGCAACACAAAACAAGTTAGAAATGTAGTTCCCATGCCTTTACACCAGTTACCTGATTTAATCCCCGAATCTTCCTCCTCGTCAAGTGAGGAAAAGCAGTTATTTCCAAAATCGCCGGCGAGCTTCTCGCCCCCCGGCGAAGCCGAGGCAATGTCCTCCTGCTCCGGACGGAGCTTCTTCTCAGGTCGCTGCATACAATGCAAAGGCTCATCTCCGATTTGACTCCCCGTGCTCCTTTTCATTGGCATGTTAAAAATAAAATATTGCCACTAAAAAGACAGGCACAAAAAAGCAAGGCTGAAAGCATTTAGAAAACAGCAAATATCCCCACCGCTATAACTGTAGCAACTTGTGAATTAAAATTCCACGAGAGAAATGTATCGCATCATTCGTTTTTATTTGGTCAAAACTGCAAATATTTCAAATTATTGTATCCAGCTATTTTAAAACAAAATCAGGACACGGGAGCCCCAATTTCACTGCGAACTCACTATGTCAGTATATAGAATAAAGATTTTTAAATGTATTTCTATGGCCCTTTCTTCACTTTTCCATGGTAAAAAGCCTAGTCTGCAGCAGCTCTAATTAAACCTGAGCCCGCGCCGAAAGTGTGGTGAGTAGCGAAGATTCATTTATCATATTTACAGAAGACGGGGACTAGTTGCGCTGCATTAATGATTAACCTAAACAGGCAATAGGCTCCTTTCAACTCGGCGAGCTCGTTTTGCGGCCTCGGCCATCTGATCTAGGCTAAAGAAGAAAAAAACACCATACGGGCATCACACCGAATATAGGGTGAATTAGAAATAACACGTATAACAAAATAATAACACAAAATTATCATTATCCCCGTAGCGCCACGTATCACTTCTACAGTAATGGGTGGATGGATGTTCGATTAAATTACCTATTAGCTGCTGCTGACACAGAAACCCATGTAGTTACCGAGCATAAAATGAACTGGACACAGGAATGGAAACGTACCTAGATTGTATCAGTATATGCAAAGTACATACTCCTCATTTTCATTCATTATCTGATACAGATATGCTCCTGTTCCTATAATCTGTCACTATATACATATAAGCTGCACTGACTATTGCAAAGGGGATGCCTAATGTCGGCCTGATTAGGCCGAACTCGTGTGGAGGTGAACCGGAGCCTCCAACGTGCTGGTAAAAATCAGGGTGCAAACAAAGTCGGGGGGGGGGATTCCTCCGTCATGTTTTAAGTAAAATGCAATTGCATAAAACGTTACTTTTGAAATGCTGGCATGGACTCATTACATACATTCGTTTTCCTTCCCGTTTTTTTGTCCGGCTTGTGCCCCAGACTACGGGTTTTAAATTTAAATGCGCGTCACGGGGCGTTTGCAAACTCTCCCGCCCAGCAGGTGGCAGGAATGGAAACGCAGCATTTTCCGTTATAAGCCGGAGCGCTTTGCTGTTCGATGCCCGGCGTCTGTACAGATGGGTGGCTGCGGAGTGACGGGACGCTGTGACTCGCTTCCTTGTATGATACTGATATATATGTGTATTGCCATTAAAATATAATATTGCTCTGCGACAAAATATCTAAAAAAAAATAATATAACGCTTTATGTACATGGGAGGGTGCCCTACAGCGTTGGTGCTGTGATATGGTAGAAATTTTGCCAATCGCGGGAAGAGAGTAAAACATTATAAATATTTATATAAATATTATTGCTAACGTCAGCACTGAGTACTTATATGCAATGCAGACTACCATGTCGTATCTAATAATATGAGCATTGGCTGCCCCATTCTGTAATTTATTTTGAGAAAAACGAAAAGAAGGGCCTAGGTAACCGATTGCGTATTGCAGCCAAAGGTAACAGGCAGCGTGTAGGCCGAGTGATATACCTAACGATAAGCATTTAATATCTGCTAAAAGAAATAAACTGCAGTTATAATTTTAAAATGTCATATAGGCAGCAAAGGAATTAAGAGCGATCAAGTAGTATTTAAGAGTAGTGCTGGACGCCGTAATTACACTGCCAGTTACGGCGTTTCTGTATGTGTACTCAAATTGTCTTTTTTCCCCTAAGATTATTATTAGCCTGTTTACAATGATAGCGATAAAGTGCTTAACAGGGCATTTGTCTTTTGCAAACCTTTAAGTTTGATTAATCTATATTAGTTTCTTTCGTGTGTTGTCAGCACTTCGCTAGGAAAAAAAGTTTTAACTATTGATCATTAGCGACATCTAGTGGATGCAGTCTGCCGTTTATAAAAAAACGAATGCTACTATGCGTAGTGTTATGGGTTTTACGTTTACATATTGTTGTTCTAATAATGGAAAAACCTCTGCAATTGCTTGTTTTGCCATTCTAGAATCGTGTGATCTAATGTAGCACAACGCTATTTATGTAATTTCATTTAAACTTTTGTGACAAATGATGCCTGTCCTTTCTTTCAGGAAAACTGCTGTAATGCTTTCAAACATTGGTCCAGGGGCCCAAAGGTAGGTTAGAATACAATTATATAAGTGTGTATTCATTATTTGAAAGTTTTTTTTAAAAATGTATTTAAAATAATAAATTACAGGTGCTCCAATACCAAACTAAATTCTAAATATTAGGCCTGTGTCTTTAATAATTTTGAAACTACAGCCCTTTGGAATTTTAATGAATTTTATGCATCTTTTCTGAACGTAGTATGTTCCTCTTATTGAAATAAGTCTAAGTGTCAATTCTGAAGCTGTAAACTATGTAATATTTCTGTTTTGGTTGAATTTTTATGGCAACAAGCGTGTGGCAACTCATTCTTTAAAAAATCAGAAGGAAGGTTAGCAACACCAACATATTTTTGTCAGATCATCTTCAGATGTGTAAGAATATATGGTAAAATACATGTATGAAAATGTTGGTTAACTGTTCAGATGGTCAAATGAGACGACTCTGGAAATCAAAAACATGATTCTGACACTCTGACGGCAACACATACAATTACTGCACAGACATGGTCTTAATATGACAGGAAAAAAACTCGTAGTGCTTTATCATGCTTTGAGTTTTTGGTCGTTTTCAGAGCCTTGTAGGAGGAACAGTACATAAGATGCAGCTGATCTGAATACTTTTTATGAATTACAGAAAAAGTTATCCCTAATCACAGTTTCAAAGCTGGACGTGCCATCAAAGGTGATATGAATGTTGGAAGTTGGACCAGAAGGCTTGTTTAGCAAAATGCATAAAATTAATTAAAATTTAAAAGGGTTATAGCTTCAAAACTATTAGAGATCCAGACCTAATATTTGGGATTTCTTCATAAGTTTGGTATGGAAGCACCTGTAACGTTTTTCAGGGGAATCTGGAAGGATGAGCAGGGGCATTCTGGGTAATTTGATACGGAATGACTCAAATTAATCTTTTCCTTGTAATTGTATGGATGTTCTCCTGCAGCAAAAGATGTGCTATTCAGGTGTATTGCAGTTTGAGAATTACCCTTAGTGATTGTAGGCCCTGTAATAGACTGGCATCTGGTCTGGGCTGTACCCTGCTTTGTGCCCAGTACTTACTGGTATGAGTGCCAGGTTCACCACTTCCTGGCACTGGATAAGCAGCTATTGAATTTGGATTTGCTGGATAAGAACATAAAATTATGTCGAATATCTAAAATATTATTTAAAAATCCACTGTCCACCTGATTCTGGGGTGGTGGTAGGAGGAGGTGTATTACAGTTTTCCTGAATTGCTAAAGCTAATTTCCTGAAAATTACCATCCTTTTCTTAGCACAGAAATCATAAAATCTGATATTCAGACTGCATTCACTAAACCTTTGACTTCTTTTGCGAGTGAAACAAGACTGTTTTTCTTTGCTCAAAACCAATATATAAACACCAATGAGCAGTCATTACACGCTACAGAATTAAAACGGAAACCCTGCCAGTCAAAACTATTGTTAGGCATGTGGAGAGAAATGTATACTGCGGATATGGTCTTATGCATGCTCAGTTACAGAATTGGAAACCAGCTGCACGACAAGAATAAAGAAAATTTTACTGTTTAGTAAAAAATACAAGTGTACAGCTATATGTAAAGCAATATATAATGTTTGCTGTATTCAGCACTCCAAAAAATTACCTTAAAGGACAAGGTAGAATAAATAAACAACCCTAATGAAGGCATTTTGCAGTAAAATGTTGTACACTTGCCAGTCAAAATCAAGTAGGAATATTAATTCTGCTTCATCATCATGTTTCTGGGCTGGGTCAGGTCAGAGGCCTTCGTTTACATCACAGCCAATGTTCTCCCTTGTTAGACAATGGAAGAAGAATCGTTTGTTGTGACACATGCATACCTAGACATTGAAACTCGATACACTTACTGTACGGCTTGCACTCTCATCTGGCACATATTCTCAGCTGTAATCACTCATTGGCTTCATCGCATTTTTAGAAATACGATGTTTATACGATTACTACATCGTGCTGGTTGTGTTCATCTTTTGTGGCCTGTATTTTCCATTTTACAAAGGTGCAAAAATGTGTTCTGGTGAATAAGAATGTGTTTTTGCAAAAACGAGTGAATCAGATCTCCAAGTTGTGTCTTTAGGTGAACATTTTTCCGTATCAGAGATTGATTTGATAAATGAGTTTTGGCGGTTATGTTTAGTCAGAGAATGGGGTTTAGGGTTCTAGCAATTCAGAAAAACTGAATTACAGCTACAAATGCATTTTCAGGCAGGGCTCTGCCAAGAAGGTTTCTTTCAAAGAACAAATATTGAAGGTTGGAACTGAACTGTCTGTCCGGTGCTGCCACTTCAATTCCTCTTCAGACTTTTGGTGTCAGCCCCAGAGCAAACTGAAGAACTTGGACAAATTAATGGCGAGCCTAATACATCCATGTGAAATTTTGATTTTTATTCAAATTTATTTTGGTCTGTCAAATTAAATTTACACAATTACTTGTGTATTACATACATGATATACTTGGATATCCCATCATAATTGATTGTTTGGGTCTTGGTCATCCATTTATTTGTTTATCAGTGTCTACTTTGTGATATATGTAGTGCCAAAATTTCCATCTTGGGTCTGTAAAAAATCTCTCTGAATAGTTGCAATAATGTAACTGGCCAAAAATCAATAATAATAAAAAAAACATTTAAAAAACGATGGTAATTATAGCTTTTATATGCATATTTTTCAATATAATGTGTATGCATTTTGACGTATACCGTATTTGAAATATCACCAACATTATCTTCTGTTCTAAAAAGCATCCTGAATGAATTATTTCTATATTATTTATATTTTTATTGGGATTATTTCTAAAGGCTTGAGTTAGATACAGGCAAGTCACAACATTTATGACAGACCCTGCTGATTGATAACTTGTCATTTCTATAGACTAAGAATCAAAACTTAAAAAAACTGATGTAGTATGACGTTCAACTGTACAAATGGACAGTATGTTAATAACAATGTAACCACTGAATGTCAACCTAAAAGACTGTTTGGTATAGAGAATGTTATTCCTTGTCCACTACTGAGATATTTCTGAATATTTTGATTGTTTATTTATCTGCATACATTTAATTGACTTTGTTTGAAATGTTAAGTGAAGTGACATTATATTGAGGGACTTACAAGTAGGTTGTGAAATGTT